ACCCCCCCCCCCCCCTTTACCCTTATGCAAATTCACTTAGATGTAATTGACACTAGCAATATACCTTGAACACCTCCTGTACTTCTTAATTATTAATGAAATCCTCCCTTGCAGCAAAAAAAAAAAAAAAAAAAAAAAAAAAAAAAAAAAAAAAAAAAAAAGAACAAAAAGAACTTCTAAAGGAGTAATATGACACAACAAATACACTCCAAGAACTCATCAAGCTAATCTTGTTAGAAAGATTCATATTTGCATTATGAAATATATACCTTTATGTATAATGTGAATATCTAAAACATATAAGAGAGAGTTTTTGTAGAGGGGGTATATTTTTTAATACAAATTTATATATATTATAAAATTTTATATTCATTGAGATGAAGTACGCATGGAACGCTCGTTTAGAGAATTATCTCATGTCAACTATTACATACTCTATGCCAAATATTAATTAATCTTATTAATTGCTTACCTGTTTTACAATATTTTTCTAAATTATAAAATACAAATTAATTATGTTAGGCCTATCATATGTACGGTTGCAGAAAAATATATTAGTCTTGTAGTAAATATTGACAAAAAATAGTTTTTGTTATGAAATACTTGATTATGGTGGATGTCCATAACTCCTAAGGGAGTAACACCCACTACTCTTCTCCATTAACTTCCCACTACTTCTTACCATTATGGATGTAACTCCCACACCTCCATGATCTTCCTCCATGTTCTCAATAGTTAATACCATGTTTATGGCATCCCTTTGTATTACCTATATCATCCTATAAATAGAGGGTTTGGGCATCACATTGTAGACACTTGAATATATGGAAGAAATAAGATAGTTCTCTCTTCCTCTCCACATTTCTTGTCTATTTTCTTATTTTATATTATTACTTTGAGATTAGTTTTGTAACACGTTATCAGCACGAATCGCTCATTCTTCGTAAAGAACAAATTGTATGTGCTTCTTTACTTCCACGCCTTGGCTTACTCATACCTTTTAGGCCATTAGGTAACTCTTTGTTAAACTTTCTTCACATATAAGGTAAGAGTTTTTATGCGTTTTTACTAATCCCTAAATATCTAGTTTTATATTCTGCTAAAAAGACATGAATTCGGTGGGGTGATTTATCACTTCCAAGCTAGAGATCATTCTTTAATATCTAGTTTACTATATCACAATTTATTATCAAAGTCCGACTGATCAAATAGGACTACTATGCTTAACATAATAACAGAATGCTAAAATTAATATATATACGTAGCTATATGATGTATTTTACAGCAACTTGGTCGGTGTTTTATCATCATTAATGTATAGTCTGTACGTGCATGTTTGTATATGTTAATTTGTTACATTGACATAGCACATCATGCTGCTTATATTGTGTGTATATTTATTTAAATTGTTTAATGTAATGTGCATTATTTTCAATCATTGTATACAATTGTTTTACTATTATTATTATTATTTTATCAACAAATTTACGTCATTTGTTGCATATCCACTATTTATTTGCCAAATTTAAAGGCTCGAGGGTGAGTTCCAATGCACTTTGGCCTATTATGCAATTGGTCGTGGGTAAGACATCGGGTTCAAGTCCTGGTGCACTATGATGATAAGAGTTAGATTTGAGTTCCACTTCATTAAGGCCTAATATGCCTTTATATGGGTAAGGCATTGGGTTTGAGTCCCAATGCACCATATTGATGATATAATGATGACTAATGAAAAATAATGTATTTTTCATGAAAAAGTATGAAGCTTGTCCCACTTGATTTGCTCCATTCTTGAAGTGAATGTGATAGCGGTGCATAATAAGTCTAAATGAAGACAAGTGGTTGACCAATGAACGTGTGCGTGCCAAAGGCAATAACAACAGTCATCATTATGGTAAATGTAAAAAAGGAGAACAATAAGGGTTCTCAAAATAATCCTTCAACGGTGAAGGAATTGTGTATCAATATGGTCTGTAAATAACACGCTCAAACGATTATAGTCCATTTTGTGAAAGTATGCGACTTGTGATAAGCATTGTAAATGCAGACTCATTCCTGAAGTGAGTGTGGAAATATATATGTGATACAAATTATGCACAAGAATGTATTTATGCATGGTTGAATAAATACTACAACTCACTTCTACGGGAGGTTTGGGAGAAATAAAGATCATGAACATTACTATGTGGTTACACGAATATGTCATTGGTCGTGTACATGTGGTACGCCAAAAAATATTTTGCCATGCCTTATAAAAAGTTATTAAAGGCAAAAGTAAAGCAAAAAATGAGTCTTGTTTATAATGTTTTTGATCGTGCCAATGATAAGATAATTTTTTGTGTGGAGAAAAAATTCACCACTTGGATGGTGGTATAAAAGATCTTGTAGTAAAAATTATTGAGAGCTCCGAAAGAGCGAATTTGTTACTACCCGAATAAATAAAATTATTCATGGCATTGGTGGTAGTAAGTCTCAAAAAGGAACTTTTTGAGTTTCAAATATATTAGCCAAAGTGGTTGGCATATTGAGACTATAAATGAAAGGAAGATTGAATATCTTCATATTACTATAATCATACCGGGTAAATATGAAAGGTTACCCGATTTTTTTTCTATTTGTACTACAGATGTATAAGCATGGTGATGGAATCACATGCCATAGTAAATTAAATATTTACTGAAATAAATATTAGTTGGCACGACCGGTTGGCCATCCCGGTTCAATTATGATGCAAAAAT